TGATAAGTCATGGACTAGAGTTCAGCTTAGGCTAGTCAGCTTTACTTTATTTCATGGTCTCAGACTGCAGCCTTCCCTAAAATTACCCATTTTTCAAATATATGTTATTTATCACCAGAAGAACTGGTGGAAAGACTATAAATGATTCAATGCAAAGCCATTATCGCCATTGGAAAAATAACTCAAAGATGAGCATCCAGTACATTTAAGGTGGTATATTTATAATTTCTCATTGAAGAATTATATCTAAACATCTTTTCCTAAATTAAAAATATGGAGATAATACTATATGGATTTTCTTTATATATATGTATGTATGTATATTTACTTATTTATTTATGTGGAGACAGAGTCTGGCTCTGTTGCCCAGGCTAGAGTGCCATGGCATCAGCCTAGCTCACAGCAACCTCAAACTCCTGGGCCCAAGCAATCCTTCTGCCTCAGCCTCCCAAGTAGCAGGGACTACAGGCATGTGCCACCATGCCCAGCTAATTTTTTCTATATATTTTTAGTTGTCCAGATAATTTCTTTCTATTTTTAAGTAGAGACAGGATCTCATTCTTGCTCAGGCTGCTCTCGAACTCCTGATCTTGAGTGATCCTCCTGCCTCAGCCTCCCAGAATGCTAGGATTACAGGCATGAGCCACTGCACCTGGCCTATTTTTATTTTTTGAGACAGGGTCTTGCTCTGTCACCTAGGCTGGAGTACAGTGTTGTGATTATAGCTCACAGTAACCTTGGACTCTTGGGCTCAAATGATCCTCCCACCTCAGTCTCCCAAGTAGCTAGGATTACAGAGATGTGCCACCATACCTGGATAATTTTTAAAAACATTTTGTAGAGACAGAGTCTTGCTATGCTGCCCAGGCTCTTCTCAAATTCCTGGCCTCAAGTGATCCTCCTGCCTTGGTGTCCCAAAGTGCTGATATTACAGGTGTGAGCCACTACGCCTGGCCAGATTTTCAAAGTTATTTCGACTTAGCTTATTTGATTCTTTCAAATCAAAGAAAGTAGGGAAGGTATTAGTATCTTCATTTTAGATGAAGAAATTGAAACCCAGAAAAGTTATAACTTGTCTATTGTTACATAGCTAAAAAGAAGTAGAACAAGGGTGAACCCTAAGTCCTTGGATTTCTAGTCCAGTTCAGTCCTTACTGTATCATGGCATTCCAACACAGGTGATACCTAGTCCTTAGCCTTAAAGCACTAATATCCAAGGTATTCTCCTTAAAGCACTAATATCCAAGGTATTAGGGCAGCACGTGCTCTACTTGCCCTTGTCATCCAGATAATAAAAATGGTCTTATACTTTAGTAATCGTAAAATCATAGAATTTATGAGAAAATTAGTCCAATATCTTTAACTTTAGAGATTAGGAAGAGGTAGCAAATAAATTTACCTAAAGGTACAGTTACCTAATAGTAAAATCAGGGTTAGAACCTATTTATATACCCAGTCCAGTATTCTTTCTCTTACGCTACTGTTTCTCAAAATATAAGTAGGCAGCTATCTGTTACCTACAGCTAGGACATTTCTGAAAATGGTATCTGATACATATTCTCATATAAGAATGTCATGGCTAAGGATCCCACCAAATTCCTAATCCAAAGGAATATGGGCCAGGAAGCTAATCAGAGAGGGATGAACCATGAGATATTGAACCAGCAACTTCCCAGTAAACAGAGTTGCATTAATAGTATATGAAGCGGTCCAAAGGGGTAGACGCCCCCCACCTCAATATCAACTGTTATTGGACCCACTGAAGGACTTAGACTACTTGTGTCCTAGATAACCAGGACACAAAGACACCTAAAAGTCTTGTTGAAAAGAAAGGATTATAAATCTGCCACGGCCAACGGTAGTCTTTTTTAAAAGCAAGCTAGCTAAGCAGCTGAGTTAATATATGTAAAAGAACCAGGTAAGTGACTATATAAACACTGATATGGTGCTCAATTTGATTCAACAATCATTTATTGAACACTGGTTATATGCAAAGCACTACAAATTCAAATACATGCCATACATTTATCCTCAAGAAACTTAACAGATTCAATATTACCTGCACAGAGTGCTATGGTACCACAGAAGTGGGCACTTAAGCATGCCTGAAGGAGCCAGGAAGGCTTTATTGAAGAGAAGACACTTGAAGTGAATCTTAAGGTTAGAGCAGGAATTATCCAGGTGAAAATGAGCTAAACAAAGATAGAGGCATGAAATGGTGTATAGTGTTTGTGCAACTAGAAGTAGTTTGACAATGCTGGAGCCCAATGCTGGAGCCCAATGCTGGGCAGGGAAGAGGCCTAGCATAACATGAGACTAAATCAGAGGGCCATGCCATCTTAGACTTAAGCCTAAACTAATGGATCACCCTGGAAACAAAGGTTAGAGGGAATTTGAAGTTGGGAAGAAGGAAGACTGATTATGAGTTGGTTGAAGTAATCTAGGAGATGGTAAGAGCCTATACAAGGAGAGTAGCAATAGGAATGTATACGATGCATCAGATAGGCCATATTCCAGAAAAAACTAGGCTATTAAATAATGTTATCTGATGGGTGAAGACTCCTGATCTAAATATTTCTCTCAGGGCTTCTCATTTCCACATCAGAGACATTTCCACCATCAGATGTTCTTCCTGTAGGATCTTTAAGAGTTCCCTACTAAAATGGAGTTGATCAGTGCATTTTAGTGTAGATCAACTAACACTAAGATGGAATATGGGCTGGGTGTGGTGGTTCATGCCTATAATCCTAGCACTCTGGGAGGCTGAGGTGGGAGGATCACTTGAGGGCAGGAGTTCAAGACCAGCCTGACCAAGAGCAAGACCCTGTCTCTACTAAAAATAGAAAAAATTAGCTGGCCAACTAAAAATAGAAACAAAAAATCAAATTAGGTGGGCAAGGTGGTGCGCACCTATAGTCCCAGCTACTTGGGAGGCTGAAGTGGGAGGATTGCTGGAGCCCAGGAGTTCAAGGCTACAGTGAGCTATGATTGTGCCACTGCACTCCAGCCTGGGAAAACTGAGGTCATGGTGGGAACCCAGACTAAACTGCAGGTTTCCTGATTCCTGGCTTAAGGCTCTTTTTTCCTATCAAATAATTTTTTTTTAAATATTTCAAACATAAAGATAACTATAGGTTTAAAATACATAGGTAATAACGCCCAGATTTTTAAAATGTTAATGTTGTCATATACTTCAGATCTCTTTAAAAAAGAATTTAAACACTATGTATCAACAGATAATTCCCATTCCTCTATCCCATTCCCCTACCTCCCTCTATAGGGGTAACCACTATATTGAGGTCGTATGTTTTCTATCCTTCCTCTCTGTGTTTTTATACACTTACTTAATGGATTATATTTAATATATCCATAAATCACACCATGTTGTCAGAGAAAGAGTTATTCTTCAAAACAAGGAAGAATCCCTCACTCTAGTATGCTTGTATGCAGTTATAACCTTTTGGGTTTGGCTGGATGTTGCAGAAACAACCTAGGGCGGAGTCTAAAGTCTTTTTAAATGATTACCACAGAAGGATCTAGTGAAGTATTTTGGTATCAGAATAAAAAATAAAGCAGGCAAATATAAAAATTTTAATACAACTTTTTTAATCCTTCTCAAGTTAATGTTTTATACTTGTGAAACACTGGTTTATAATGACCTAGTGTGAATGACCTGTCACTGAACAATTGGGAAAGATGAATTAAGCAATTTAACTAGTAACAATAGTTTCTAAGGCTGGGAACAGTGGTTCACACCTGTAATCCTAATACTTTGGTTGGCCAAGGTGGGAAGATTGCTTGAGCCCAGGAAATCAAGACCAGCCTGAGCAATGTAGTGAAAGCCCTTCTCTACCAAAAACAATTAAAAAATTAGCCGAGCATGGTGGCATGCGCCCATAGTCCAAATTACTCAGGAGGCTGAGGCAGGAAGATAGGTTGGTCCCAGGCACTGGAGGTTGCAGTGAGCTATGATGGTGCTACTGTACTCTAGCCTGGGCAAGAGTGAGACCATCTTTCAAAAACAAGGAAAAATAAAAAATAATAGTTTCTACTCCTGCTTCAAGGTGCGGCTCAATGTCATCTCCTTAATGAATTCATCCATGATCCCAGAGTTAATTCCTTCAACAATCATTTATTGAGTGCCAGAGCCCTATAGATACAAAAGTGTGTCAGATCCAGTTCCTGCCCAGAGTTCAGAAATAATTAAACAATAGTGTCTGACAAATGTACTAAGAGAGAAATCTATGAAGGACTGGTGGAGCCTAACTTTTTCTGGGGCAACTGGAGAAGACTTTACAGGGAAGGTAATGTTTCAACTACAACTTGGGGGATGAGTAGGAGGTCATAAAATGGGAGGATGGAAGGTGATTCCAGGTACGGAATCATTGAATGAGAAGGTACAAAGGATGCTATTAGTTTTAGAAAGACAACTAAGGATAGACGTTGGAGGTGGAAAGACAAGTAAGAGTGGCAACAATTCAAGCAAAAAGATGACATGATTGCAGGAATGAGGAGGGAGGGGGAAGGATTTGAACAAAATCTGGGAGACAAATTTAGCAAAACTTGATGCCTTGATGCCTATGGGGGAAAGAAAGAACATGGAGAAGTTGTGGACGACTCCCCAAAACTTCACAAATGAGTGGGTGGTGAGGCCATGATGGAAATAGGGAATACAGTATAGAAGATAAGAGAAGGCCTGAGAAAGGGTGTTCAAGTTTAGTTTGAGGTATTTTGAGGTGAAGTTGAAACCTCTTCCATGAGGCCTTTAACAATTTCCATTTCTAGGCCAGACATCGGTTTCCTTTGCACTCTGTTGCACATTGTATACTTTTCGTGTCAAATTATTTAAATCTGCTGTATTTACAAGTATATATCTACTTTAAATCATGGAGAAAAGGTACTAGGTCTTATCCATCTCTGTATTGCTCTTACAGCAGTGCCTTACACACAGAAGGTCCTCAGTTTGTGTTTTTTTTTGGAGACAGAGTCTGACTGTGTTGCCCAGGCTAGAGTGCTGTGGCGTCATCCTAGCTCACAGCAACCTCAAACTCCTGGGCTCAAGCCATCCTCCTGCCTCAGCCTCCTGAGTAGCTGGGACTACAGGCATGTGCCACCATGCCTGGCTAATTTTTTCTGTATATTTTTAGTTGTCCAATTAATTTCTTTCTATTTTTAGTAGAGACTGGGTCTTGCTCTTGCTCAGGCTGGTTTCGAACTCCTGAGCTCAAACAATCCACCCGCCTCGGCCTCCCAGAGAGCTAGGATTACAGGCGTGAGCCACCGCGCCCAGCCCTCAGTTTGTGTTCTTGAAAAGGCAGCTCCATCGGATACTAGAACTTGTCAGCTAAAATTTATCAAAACAGTGAACAAAACTTGTGCATTGGGGGGGTCAATATAAAATACCTTAAGTATTTGGCCCTCCAGCACCTACTTTTAATGTTGTAGCCAATTCTGGCTATAAATTCGTTCCCTTTGTGCTTATCTTACAAGGTAATCTTTGTATTCCTATTTTACGGATAAAGCAACCCAAGCCCCAACCAAGTAAGTGACTGATTAACTTTCCCGTGGACACAAGGTTTGCAAGCGGCTAAGCCAGGATTAGGGCAGACTGGTCCCTTCACCATGCCGCGTGCCTGAGGCAAGCTGGCCTTCCTGCCCTAAATCTCAGTCTCTTCTTTGGCTCCTGAGGGGGTGGCACCTGTGGGTCAGCAGGTGCAGCAAGCGGGGCTCTCAGTCCTGCCATCTCAGCAGTAGACTAAAGCGCCCCCCACTTTAGGAAAGTGCCCTGAGGAGCACACCCACTAGAGACGACAGAGCTGACAGGCGACCGGGGGACAAAGGGCTCGGCCCTGCCCGGGGAACCCCCCATTTTCAGTATCAACTCCACGCAGGCGCATGGGATCGCAGTCTTCCGTCGCCTCACCTTCGGCTCAAACGCAGTCGCGCCAGGTAGCGGACGGGACTCCGAGCCTGGCACCTCGGGGTTCAGAACTCCTCAGACATGAAGGGCCCTCGGCAGACAGAAGTGCTGCCTCCCGCTCAAACCCGTCCCGTTCCGTCCTGGGCAGTCCCACACGGCGGGCTGGCCCGGCGTGCTGCCCCCATTCCGCGGAGCTGAGACCGAGGTCGCGGCGGGAACGGACCCCGGGCGGGACTGCGGGGACGTGCTGGGAGCCATTTACCTCAGACCCGCGCCCAGCCTCCCTCACTGTCTCTCCAGGACCCGGCCGGGACACCTCGGGGCAGGTGAGGGGTGGGACCTTCAGGCAAGGCAGAGCAAGATGGCCAGAAACACGCCAGGGCCCAGGGCGGCCGGGCGGGCTGGGGGGGCGTGTCCTGCTGCAAGCCGAGGGAGCGCAACGGGCAGGGGGCGGTCCCACCAGGAAAGCCCTGGAGCGCCGATTGGCCGCGCGCCGCGGAGGCACGAGGAGGGGGCGTGTCCGCACGTGAGCTCTTCCCGCGGAGCTGCGCAGGAGGGGAGGGCGCGTGCCGGGACCTGGCCTCCTCCCCCTGCTGGGGTCAAAGGGCAGGAGTGTGCGTCCGGACAGCGGGGAGCTCGAGGACTCTGGCCATGGCGGGAGCTGAGTGGGAGTCGCTGGAGCAGTGCTTGGAGAAGCACATTCCGCCCGCAGAGTTGCGAGAAGTGAAGCGCATTCTCTATGGAAAGGAGACCAGGTCTGGGGCCCAGAGGCTGAGCTGGGGGGTCTTGGGGCCGCCGAGTACGGGTGTGGGGGAACAGGGGGAGGCCTTCGGAGTCTGAAGGGCTCTGAGGAGGCGGTGACGAAGCCCTGAGTTGGCAGGCAGAGACCATACTAGATTTTGACGCGTCGGCCCCCAGCCCAGGCCCTCGGGGGTCATGGGATTCCAGGGTGACCTTTACAAATCGATTCTCCCTTACGTTGCCCGGAACCGGATGCCTGGAACAGGAAGGGAAACGACTAGTTTTTGCTTTGCAGCGCTTTCTCTGGCCACCCCAACACTCCTTCCCCTTTGAATGGCCAGCTTCCTCCCCAGAGCTAGGCTTGTCCTCCAGCCAGAGAACCCTAGCAGAGGTACCGATTGTCTAGCCCCTTCCTGCAGTGACGGGGCCTCTGGCCACTCTTGGAGGTAGAGACTGGCTGAATCCAGTTGGCGAGGGAACCTTTCCCACGTAACAAGCCATAGGAGTTAGTTACCAAATGTTTTTTTCCCACTCCCAGCAAGTCGTGTGCATCGCTAGGACTTTCTGAGGGCTGAGCAAAGCTGGAAAAGACACTTCCCCTTCCACTCTTATTTCTCTTAAGTCCAGTCTTCCCTATGATAACCGGAAGGATCCCTTTAAAATGTAAATCATATCCTATTGCTCCTTTGCTTAAAACTCTTTAAGGGATTTCTTGGGCTCTTAGAATGCCATCCAAACTCTGACCCCATGCAGCTCCTGACTAAATCACATTCCACTTCTTTGCTCCCCCAATCCAGCCAGACTGCATGCCCCATGACCTTGCAGCAGGAATTTGAACAGCTCACCTGTAACTGGAATTGTGAACTAAAATAAAATCTTAAGGCTTCCCCCCCACCAGCTGACTGAATGGACCCCCTCCTGGCCAAAGGGATACCCTAAAACTGAATGGCCTGCCATGGGGAGGGAGGTCACACATGCCTCATCATGCCCCCTCCTTCTTGGAGACATCCTTAATAACTCATTAGCAGGCCCAATGCTGTGCAAGACAAACCTACAGGTCCTCAGTCTACACAACAAATATATGTCTGGTCGCTTGTCTCTGATTAAGACTTCCTCATCTAAAAACATTCCAAGCATTTAAACAAAGCTTCCTTTTTTAAACAATTACACAAGTCAAAGAGTCTTTAAACCCACCTGTAACCTGTAAGTCCCCCGCTTTGAGATGGCCCACCTTTTCAGGCCAAACCAATGTATGCCTTCCATGTATTGATTTATGACTTTACCCATAATCCCTGTTTCCCTGAAATGTATAAAACCAAACTATAACCCAGCCACAGCAAGTCCACTTGCTCAGGGCATCTTGGACGTGGCTCCGAGTCTTGGTCCTCAAATTGGCTCAGAATAAACCTCTTTAAGTTATTTTACAGAGTTTGGCTTCTTTTCCGTTGACAGAAGAGTGTTAACTGGATCAGTGGTTCCCAGCCATGGCCGCTGTGGAGTTACTGCAGGGAGGCCAGACCTCAGATCCAAGGGTCTTTTCACAGGTAGTGGATGGTAAAGTTAGCACAGCTGCCTTTTGGGCTGAGGTGGTACAGAACTTTGTCAGAAAGGGCTCTTCATACCCAAAGAAGGGCTGGATGAAGGCCCTTCCCAGGGTGCTCATGCTGCAGTCTACTTCCCCACTATATCTGGAAAGACTAGTAACTGGAAGTGTCTTAGAGCTGGACTCCCGAAGAAGGTATCTTAAATGAAGCAAATGATGGCTCAGGCTGCTAGGGATGGGAATTTGTTTGTTTTAAGGGTGAGGTGGGCATGTTCTCTTGAAAAAAGATGGAGAGAGCTCATGGGTGTCAGGGAGAGGTAAAACAGAAGAGTCTTAGGAAAAGAAATGAGTTTTCCACAGAGGTGACTGGTTGGGGCACATTCTGGAGCAGGGCCGAGGTCAGGCCAAAGACTACCATGCAAGAGGGTTTTTACCTGAGGGTTTGCGTCACTCCACAGTGGGGAGGGATGATGATGGGTGGTAAAGTGGGAGCCAGCATCTATTGACTAGTGACTGCCATGCCTCTTCCTGAGTTTGGCTTACAAGAACTGAGTAAGTGGGCCCCCCTTTTCTCTCCTTTTCCTACTCACTTTTTGTCTGTTCCACTCAGCATTTACCCTTCCAGATTTTTTTTTTTTTTTTTTTTTTGAGACAGAGTCTCACTCTTTTGCCTGGGCTAGAGTGAGTGCCGTGGCGTCAGCCTAGCTCACAGCAACCTCACACTCCTGGGCTCAAGCGATCCTTTTGCCTCAGCCTCCCGAGTAGCTGGGACTACAGGCATGCGCCACCATGCCCAGCTAGTTTTTTCTATATATTTTTAGTTGTCCGATTAATTTCTTTCTATTTTTAGTAGAGATGGGGTCTCGCTCTTGCTCAGGCTGGTTTCGAACTCCTGAGCTCAAACAGTCCACCCGCCTCGGCCTCCCAGAGAGCTAGGATTACAGGCGTGAGCCACCGCGCCTGGCCTACCCTTCCAGATTTTATCCCTAAGGTGTAAACCTTTATACTTGCTCAGTCCTTGGAATTGTGTGGGATTTGGCTATGAATGAGATTTCAAACTGAAGATGGAAATTTATCACTCATTTAAAAACTCTTCTCCCACTTAAACTCCTGTTCATTCCTCAATGCACGACTTGGACAGGGCCACTTCTGTCCCCCACACCACTTGTCCTCAGCCCCTCCTCCGGACTCCCGCTGTGCTCCACAGGAGACCACCTTCCCTCCCAATTACAACACTTTCTAAATGTTTGCTAAGTGAATGAGCTAAAGGGGCCTTTGTGCCAGACAGATAAAATTCCCAGAGAACACGGACTCTCAATTTTAAGACAGCCAGAACCAAAAGCATTCATTCATTTGACAAACATTTGTTGAGTACTTATTTTTGTTTCCAACACTAGGGAGTAAGCCACAGTGCCTGCCCTTGGGGGCTTTCCATCTTTTGATGGTTGCCTTACATTGTTAGAGAAGGATACAGGGAGAGCTTGAGAAAGTTTACACGTTTGGGGGTGGGGGTAGGTCAGGAAGGCTTCCTGGGGATGGCATGCTTGAGCTACATCCCAATGGAGATAAGAGTTTGTTAGGAGACAGAAAGGGCACATGTCCCCAGACATGCCCATTTGGGGACTGCACATACGAGAGGGGCGGTCATGGAGGAAAACCCAGGAGAGGAGGCAGGAGTAGCCAGGTTGGATCCTGGGGCCTCTGAGGCAATAGAATTGTGTCATGGTAATGGTGTGAGACTTCAAAGAGTTTGCCCTGGTGGCTGTGTCGAGAATGTCCTGGAAAAGGGCAGATAAAAGATGCTAGGCCGAATGCAGAGTGCCTAGAGCGGAAAAGCAGAAGACTCCTAGAAGTCTCAGGAAAGCCAGTGTACAGTGTGGACTGCAGGCATGTTAAAGGAGGTGACGACCTGCTGGCTTCTGGCTTGTACCCTCTGGGGACTGGTGGATTCATGAGCAGCTTTGGAAAAGGATGATCAGTTCAGCTTTGGATGAGTTGAGTTTGGGGTGCTGTTTAATTCCTAGGGCAGCTGTCACAAACTACGACAAAAGGGGTGGCTTAAACGACAGAAATGTATTCTCATAGTTCTGAAGAACGGAAGTACAAGACCAAGGTGTCAGCCGGGCGTGGTGGCTCACGCCTGTAATTGTAGCATTCTGGGAGGCCGAGGCGGGCGGATTGTTTGAGCTCAGGAGTTCGAGACCAGCCTGAGCAAGAGCGAGACCGCGTCTCTACTAAAAAAAAATAGAAAGAAATTAGCTGGACAACTAAAAAAATATATATATATGTATATATATATATATTAAAAAATTAGCCAGGCATGGTGGCGCATGCCTGTAGTCCCAGCTACTCGGGAGGCTGAGGCAGAAGGATTGCTCGAGCCCAGGAGTTTGAGGTTGCTGTGAGCTAGGCTGACACCACGGCACTCTAGCCCGGGCAACAGAGTGAGACTCTGTCTCAAAAAAACAAAAAAGACCAAGGTGCCAGCAGGGTCACACTCCTTCCAAAACCTCTTGGGGAGAATTCCTTCTTGCTTTTTCTAGCCTCTGGTGATTTCTGGCATTCCAGTCTCTGTCTCCATATGTCCTTCTCCTGTTGTCCCTGTGTCTCTCCTCTGGGTGTCTAATAAGAATACTTGTCACTGTGTTTACAGCTTACCCAGATAATCCAGGATGATCTTACCTTGAGATCCCGACTTTAATTGTATCTGTGAAGACCCTTTTTCCAAGTAACGTCCCAATCACAGGTTCTAGGTGTTAAGATAGGGACACAGTTCAGCCCACTACAGGTATCTTTGGGGTCTCGAGGTGGAGATGTCTGGGGTGGTTTGCTGTGCTGAGGTAGGCCTTGTGGGGAGAGGCTGGGCTGTGAGCTCTCTTGGAGACAATCATTCCAGGAGGAGTAGGAGTGGGTGCAGAATGGGAGAGGCCCAGTGATTATGGATAACCCATATTAAAGGGATTAGAGGAACTGAGACTTCGTGGGAGACTCGAGGTGAGGATGCAGCGGTGGGAGGACTCCAGGGCAGGACAGGGAAAGAAGAGTC